GCAGAAATTTGATACCACACATATATAAAATATTTTAATGACATTTTAGTCATACGATAATCTATAATTTATGTACTATTATCTAAATTCACTGTGTTGGCTTCCGTTGCAGCCAAATCCAAAATTTTCTGATTATCAAGTGCAGGGAGAAATTTAACTAACTCAATTTTGTTTATTCATAATAACCTGCCATGTGGTTATAGGTTCTTGGTAGTGAATGTTATGGAGTTTGTGATAATGTCATATTATGCAATGAAGTACATACTTCCAGAACAAACAGTCTTTTTTTAGCTCTATTCTAATAAAAATATAAGGGTTGATTCAAAGTCCACAGAATATTTTAAGAATCTGTGAATTTCATGCATTTATCAGACTTCTAGTCATTCTGCAAAAGACTTGACTCTATTACTTCTCACAAATAACTCAGTAGATTGCTCCGAAGCTATAAATGGACAAATCACAGGAATCTGTAGGTGAAACTGTTAGCTGCAGCATGCCAAAATAGATGTTAGAAGTCCAATTTTGAATGAGACTTTGAAAAACTTGTTAAATCTTACAGAGCTTCTGAATGAAATATTTTGTTTTATTTTTAAACAAGTTTGGAAAACATCAGAATCTGTTTTCTATTTAATTATCTATTAATTCTTCTTCAGCTGCTTTTCTTAAATGTGTATTTTTTTGAGAGAAAATGCTTCTTACTGCCAGCCCACTCAAAAATAACTTGGAAAAGCCCTTTAGGGTTCTTTGTAGGATATTAAAAGTCTTCTAAAGAAAAAAATGTTACTACATGTTACATATTTTTTGGATGTGCAGAAGTTAGCTTGTTGATCAGTAACATAGAGACAACTTTGATCCAGTGAGAATTAATGTGGGTTTAGATCTAGTTTTCTTTAGGAGAGTTGTGTGGAAATTACTGCCACATCAGTCAGTTGCTCTGTGGTTGTATCTAGTAGCAGTCAAGTTTTCTTATGGCTAAAAACCACCTTGTAGCCAGAGGGAATTCCATTTCTTACACATAGTTGAATGTTACTGAGATAGATGCCTACTCCATACAGGTAATTTAAAACATCTAGACATATTAAATGGATTAAGAAACACTCTAGGATGCATATTCAGTCATCCGCCTATCTATTCCATCTCTATTTCATTGCATACCTTACCACTTTCCTCAGTAAGAGGCTTTACTGATAAATCTCCACTATGACTTGTTTGGATTGGCAGTCTGAACTGACAGCCTTTGTTTTTACTACTTTTTAGCTACTTAGTTGTACTTTGTTTTTCTTGGTGCTATAGTAACAAAGCACATTTTTGAACAAATGCTGCTTTTGGTTTGTTCACCATGATAATGTGTGAACTATTGATTAATATATTTATGAGTCAGACTTTTTTCCTTTGAAGTCCTCATTTAATCTCTTGTAAATAGTCTCAGATCTCTGTGTCTTTACCTGCAGCTGGAATGGACATGAACATGAAATAGAGGCGATATTCATAAGCTTCATCAAGCCAGTTTAAAACCATTCCAAGCATTTGTATGTCTGCTCTGAGAATCTAACAAACTAGTTCAACAGATAAGACTTTTCCCTCCTTTATTCATATTTTATGGTAGCACTTAGGTTTTCACCCTAGTGTCTTGATTATTTTTAGAGGACAAGGTTATATGTTATATATTAGCTATATTGTTCCATAGATTACTGGCCATCTCTGGAGTTTAAGAGAATTTTCCATAGCTGTTAATCCTGAGCATTGGCAACATCATTGTTAACACTGAATAATCAAAGCTCTGGAAAGCAGAAGAAATTCTAATTAAAAAAAAAATAATTTAATTGGATTCTTTACTATTTTCTTATAAGCTGGTTATTTTTTTGTTGGGAAAAAAACAGAAAAAAACCACTTAGCATTTAATGAAAGAGTCTCTTGAAAGTTTATTGTTGGAATATCATACCTTTAGCTAAGGTTCTTTTATGTGGATCTTTGTGGCATGTGAGTTCTTGAAAAAGCCAACAAATAAAAGTAAGGTCTGATAGAGATCTTTGCATATGTAAGAATTTGTATATGTCTTCTAGGTGAATTTGGAACAGATGTTGTTCATTAAATCTATTACCTACCATAAATGATTTAGCGTGAGCTAGTAATTTGAGGGACTCCCAGGTGTGCACTGCTACAAAAATAATACACTGGTCAGAACTTGTTAGTCATGGTACCCTTCTACAAATTAGAGCGTATCCAGTCCCATCTAGCTTTCTTTTCTTTTTTTTTTTTAATGTCTAGTTCTTTGCAAAAGCATGCTATATGCTTTGTGCACACAATCCTAACAACTATGTATGAAATCATAATTAATCCTGATGACACATTTGTCTATATACAAGGTTATTTATACCTATTCTTCCTGAAGTTGTGCACACTAATTCTCTGGTTCTGTAAGTTGGTGCAGTTATTTTATAGTGAATTTACTGATTTACTGAGAATCAGAAATTTTCAGATTTCCCTAGCAGGCCTGACATGCCATTCCCCTTTCAGCTGTTGAATTCTCATGTATTTTTGCATTCCAGTTTTGAAAAGAAGGTGTACAATTCCATGTTGATTGGAGCTTCTACTGCAAATAAGATTCTAGCATCTCTGTTTACTAAAATTTATGGATTCTGAAAGTGATATCAGACACGTCTCTCCATGTCACTTTGCAACTCTTGGACAAATAACTAAATTCTTACTTTACTAAAAGGGAGATCCGGAAAGACTCATTGCTGCAGAAGCAATATTCTTCTGTGGCATCGGGCAGCCTCTGTAAATATTTCTAACCTAGTGGAGGAAAGAATGGGGGGAAATTCTCTCTTTACTAGCATTGCATAAAACAACTACCAACAAATACATGTGAGCGAGAGAGAAGTTTCAGTTCTCTAGTCATCATGTAGAGCTGTCATAGCACAAAGTAAACACCAGCCTTCTTTCATGAAATTTAGAATATCCAGGCAGAAATGAGGTTAAAACCAAACTTTTTTTTATTGCAGTGGGAATGCTGTACGAGTGGAATATTTTAGTGGAAATACACAATACTGATTTATTTTCCGTAAGGCTGTCATGGATCTTAAATTTTCCCAAGCTGCCTCAGATTCAGGGCACCTTGTTATGTGTTCTTTGTAAAACAGACCTGAAGTTGGCACGTACTCTTCAGCTGGAGATTTAGCAAAAGATGATTCAGTTATACTTTGTGAGTTTAGCTGTAAATGCAGTGTGAGACATTAAAACATTCTCTAATAGAGTTGCAATGACCTTTTCAAGACACATGTCTCAGTGTGCAAACACAAAACAGTAAAAGCCAGAGAATCATAAGCCTTTCACAATGCTCTGCATAAATGTAATGTGATTTAATGCACTCTTTTCTTGAATGATCACCTGACTACTCTATCTCTGAGGGCTCAGTAGTGGTAGAGATGAAGTGATGTTCATATGTGGGGGAATTACTTTAAATCATAGAATGGCCTAAGCTGGGAGGGACCTTAGAGATCATTTAATCCAGCCTCCCTGCCACCAGGGACGCCACTTCTCGACTAGATCAGGCAACACATGGGGACCGAACGGGAATCGAACCCGCAACCTTAGCGTTGTTAGCGCCATGCTCAACTGACTAAGCTAACTGGCCCCCTAATGAATGAAATACTTTACCTGTCAGGTTCTCATTTTTTTTCTTACATCTTGTAGATAGTTTTAATGAGAAAGATTTACTTAAAGATTTCTCTCTGTCATATACCGGGTGTGCCAGAATACCTGCAAATATTCTTTGATGTGTTGTCACCATTGACAACACTGTAAGAGAGAAGTCCTGTATGTTGGTTCAGACCCTCTATTGGCAGTTGTAGACAAAACTCCATTGGCTATACCAGTTCATACCATAAAACAGTAATATTGCTTTGGATAAAAGGATTGTAAACGTAGACTCAGAAGAAAGATGGATTCATGGAAAAAGATTTCAGCACAGCTTCCAGCTTTAAGTCAGTTGGCCAAGTCTGTAATTTGCTTAATTTGCTTTTTTTTTAATTTTATTTTTAAAATGATGGTAGCATATATAGTCTGGAACAGAAGGTTTGAAGTAATGTTTGTCCTAAGAGGGCATAATCAAAAAGTGTTTGTAGAATTTGGGGTCATAATTTTTAGAAGAGTTCACAGAGGATTCTGCAGCTAAAACCATATCTGCTCAGGATTTCATTCCTTCACATTACCTGCTTGACCACCTGGAAAAAAAAAAGTTGTTGGATTTGTGACTGTGTGAGTGTGCAAATAAATCAAAGTGAGTGCCAAACAGAAGAAATAGCTGGACTTTACTCACGTTACTGTCTAAATGATGCTTGAATTTTGAAACTGGGATATTTTCTTCTTTGCTTCATAATGTTTTATAATGCAAAAAAGGAACTTAGTAAAGTGAGACTTTATTTACTGACCTAGGGTACAAGCATAAAGAATAGAGCAATTGATGTAGCTTTTACAGTGTTCCTAGTAATCTGAAATTCTCTATAGTGAGAATAAATGAAGTTGCAAAGTCATATTCTGTATGTCCTCTTTTATTTTAGAATTTGCCTTGCTTAGCTCTGTCCAAGATCAATGTTTGGTAAAGATTTGCTAATGTTTCAAATCCATGAAAACAGTTGCTGCAGGTTGGCACCAGAGTCTTTTAGTCTAAAAATGGTTTTCATCTTATCAATTTCTTATCTCTGCTGAATAGTGGAGGATAAGTTAGTTCAGGTATGAGTCTGGGACTAAACATGCTTGGCAACTGACAGTATTACATAACCAATGTGTTCAATATACACAAAGACATCAGCTAGAAAGTCAAACACTCTGGCAGCATTTAACTTTATCATCAGAAGACACTGAATTTACTACCTTTCATATTGAATTTTTTTTGTTGCTTATTTTCTCCGACGGATTGCTTGTACTTCATATATCTACTATAATGCACAACTGCTGCTGTCACTTAGGGATTATGAAAAGCTCTCTTTTTTTTTCAGATCATCCGGTGAATGAATTTTTGGATCTGTTCAGTCGCCACATGCTTCCTCATTCAATAGATGAACCCCACATTGATGCAGAATCAGCTCAGACTGAACCCTGTACTTCAGACTCTGTGCAGGATTCATCTGAATATATAATATTGGATCCTTTCTTTCCAAACTTTATAGAATTTGAAGAAGAGGAAGACTGTGAAAATACTACTGACGTTACTACTCCTCCAGCTTTGCAGTTCATCAATGGAAAGCAACAAGTTACTAGTGCACCTAAGAACACAAAAGCTGAGGAAGCAAGAAGTGACCAAATTGAAAGTGTTGCACATTCCAAAAATGTAACCTTTTCTCAAATCAATGAAACAAACACATTTATAATACCTGAAGCTGAAGCTTCTGGGACTAGGCAACCAAGCAAAGCTGGAGAAGTAATAGGGGCGTTTCAAGTTACACAGCCAACAGCAGATGTTGCAATGTTAGAACCTGTTTATAGTGGTGAGTCAGAAGTTGTGACAACAGAAAAATCAATAGCCATTACTTCCTCACAGGAGCAGTCACTGCAAGAAAATAAAGAGACCTTAACATGGCATGGAACAGAGGAGAGCTCTACTAAAGATACAAGAAACTTGATTGTGATTACTAGTGAATCCTCTGGAGATCACTCTACCGAATCAGATTTATCTAGTTCTGTCTTCTCAGAAATTGTAACGATGTCAAGAAAGGAAGAAGACGAAAAAAATTCTGGTGTAACTTCTGCTCCTGATGCATCTACTGTGGAAAGTTCTGCTGTAACTGCTTCTATGGGCGCAGTTTTTAATACTGCTATGGTACGAATAGGTGTGAGAGACCCTATTCCAGAAGAGACAACCCTTACTCCAGAAGATCATTATAAATCAACTGTTAAACTCAATGCAAATTCCCCTGTTGAAAATCTTGTGCATACAAGAAGTCATACAGGAAAGCCTGAGATGAGTGCTTCTTCCTTTATAGTTCTAGAAGGCTCTGGTGATGTAGAAGAGGGCATGAGTATAACTTCAGCCATGACAATGGAAACAGCAGTAACAGGAACATTTTCAGTGCAAGATACCTCTTTGGGCTCTGACACTGTACTGCCAACAGAGATTTCTGTAACCATTTCAGGAATCACCTCTGCTTTTGATCAAAGTTCAGAAGTAACTGTTGCCACAAATTCTGTGTCTGAGTTTACTACAGAAAAGGTAGTTGCCAGCTCTCTTGTAACTGGAAAGGATAACGAAGATGAAAAAGAAATACAGACCACCATTTACACAAGCCAGGAAAATTCAGCTACTGCTGCAGTGGAAAATTCAGAGTTGAATAAACTTGGGAACACTATTAGTAAAGTCAGAACTGTAAGTCAAGAGCCAACCCCACTCAGAAAAATAGTACCAGTAACAGGTACTGTAAATACTGAAATCAAGGAGGTCACTACCATTCCTCTCATAAGAGAGAAGAAGCTTTTCATAAATGAAGGGTCAGCAGAAGAGCCAGCAGACATATTTTCAGGGGGTCCCACAAAAAAAGTGGTAAGTACTGACTCCCTGTTTATTGATCCAGGTTCTGGAGACATAGATGTTGTCATTGAGCCTGCTACTTTGACTTCAGTTACATTAAAGACTATCACTGAAACACAAACAGAAAGGGATGAAGGAAAAGTTTCCAGCATAGATGGTGCTTCACTGAAGAATGCAACAGAAGAATATGAAGAACATGCAAGAACATATGAATCAGCAGTATCAGTTTCAAGTACTGAGTCAGGTGGTTTGACAAAGGATTCTGCAGCAGCAACTGAGATATTCTTGTTTAGTACAGGAAAGCCAGCAGAACAAAATCAGGAAACAAAACCAACTTACACAGCTCTTTCTGAAGTAAAATCTAGAACTGATTCTAGGAAAGAGGCAGTATCTCACATTGCCCCAGAAGTTAAAACTGAAGATTTAGAAACAGGTGAATTCACATCATCTCCAGAATCAGTGTTAAGTAACAGCCCTCATGACACCATGGTGACTTATGGTACTGGCAATATAAAAGCAGGAGCTCAATCTACAGAAAGCAAAAATGCAAAAATTAGTTCTGCAACTGCTTCATTAGGCAAGATTCTGCTGATTGAGCATGGCTCTGGAGAAGAATTCAAAGGTGATGGCAGCACCACAAAACTAATGTCTAATGGACCTACTGAGGAAATACTTGAAAGGCATTTATCATTTATTGATCAGGGGTCTGGAGAAGCTAACACTTTCATTGAATCGTTTGCAAAAACAGCAGTTTCTTTCACTAGGAGACCAGAAACACTAGAGAAGTATGACAAAAATTTTGTCAGCACACCACCTATGGACCATGTTTTCACTACTGAACCTGATGAGTTAGTAACAAGTACTGAACATGAAGTAAACACAATAGGAAGTGTAACTGACACAAGAATGGAAGAGAAAACAACTGATGAACTGACAGTGAGATATTTTTCCACAAAGTTTCCTTTAGTGGAAGATATACATTCTGGGGAAGACAGACCAAGGGAAATTTCACCAAAAGCTATAGAATCTTCTGAAGAAACAACAACAGACCCATTCTTTAAAAGTACACAGGCTAACCATGAACAGCTGGGATTTTTAAATGTTCCAACTGTCAGTCCATATTCAGAAGAAAAGGAATTAGAAACTCAATCTATTAAAAAAATACTTTTGCCATTTAATGATGACAGAGTAACTGAGCCTTCAAAGATTGAAAGGAAATACGTAAGCTCTCCAGTTATGGATACAGAGCAAGAGGAGGAGTTCATACAAAATATTTTCCCTACTAAAGATATTCCCAGATCACTTCTGACACGTAAAGAGGAAAAGCTAACAAATTATGAACTTATTGGTGATCCATTGTTTTCAGGACAAGGATCTGGAGATGACCTTGCTGTTACACCTTCTGTAATGCCATTGACTGTCAAAGAAATCGTGAGTACTTCAAGTCCTCATTCTTCTCATTCTGCAAATATGGGATCCAAACTTCCAACCAACAAGACACAAGACTTTGAAAGAGAAAGCACTGTATCAAATGCTGAGATTAGTGAAGTTACAAGTGCTGTAACTGAGGTTCTGTCAGAAAAAGCAGACCAGCCCCTCAGTTCAGTGATCACCAGTTCCCCAGCTTTAGCAGAAGAGAGTTCCAAGAGCTTCAGCTCTAAAGAGATTGAAGAGATGACACATTACTTTGTTGAGGTTGAAGAACCTCACAGTAATGAAAGTAAATATAGGAGAGGAGAAAATGAAACAGATAGGACAACAGCTATGTCTAAAGCTATTTCTCAAGAGGAAACTTCACATTTGCTGATTAAAGATGGTATTACTCCCATTTCTGTAATACTGAGTGGAACTCATAATCTGGAAACAGAAGAATCACTTGTAACAACAACAAAAATACCAGGCAGAGTATTACCTGAAAGCTCTGGAGAAGGATCTGGCTGGGTTGGTGTTTTGGATTCATCTTCTCCTAAAATTTTTACTCATTTGTCAATCCCTCATGTGTCAAAAGTAGAACTAAATGCTTCATCTGATATTCCCAGGGAAGTATATTCTGAAGTTATGACAACAGAGGCACCGATGGATGGATCACAGACTGTGATCAGAGGTCTAGATTCACTTTTCACAGAAGAAAAAGAGATCGTGGCAAATCCATCTCCTGTTCAACCAAAGACAACTACATCAGAAGAACTAATAAGTGATACTGGGATATATGAGAAAATTATTCCCATGATAGATGATAAAAGAAGTGTTACATTGAACATTTCTGTTCATGGTGATATTACACTAATTGAAGAACGACTTCAAATCCCATCACAAGAAAAAACTATTATTGACATGGATCACTCAAAATCAGTGCCTGAAGATATAATAAGTGTGCAGACAATGACAAATCCTGTCATGGAATCAACATATGGCAGTGATGATGGCATGACAGCTGAAGGGGAGAAATACAATTCCACACCTGATTTTTCCATAACCAAAGGGAAGACGTTTGGATCTGGTGATACTCTTTCTTTGACTGCTTCTAGTCAGCCAAGCAGTGAATCAGTAACAGCTGGGCACAGACCAAAATCAGATGACAAAGATTTGGTTTCAGGGAATGCAGTGAAATTTGCAACAGAAACTCTCCTCGCTACTGAGCAATCTGAACTGGATGTTTTCCTCCCTACAGTACCATCACTGGCAAGGCCTCATGTGCCTCATGAGTCTGAACATGTTGTAATAAGTACAACTGAAGACAACTACAAGCTGAATACATCAAACAACAAAGTAATAGCAGATCAAAGTGAAACAAGCTCTGTCTCTGACTTTTCTGGAATGGGCCAAGAAGAACTATATGATAGGCAGCCTATAGTTCTAGCTACTGAGACAGAAAAAGTTTTGACAACCGACATGCTTGATCTAAGTCTTGCCACCACACAGCATACATCCCAACTGACAACTGTATCTTCTAGCAAGAATGAAGTAAAAGGTCCTACAGTATACACAAACACAAAATCGGCATCAGCAGAGTATGAAGAAACCGACTCAGTGAATTTTTATTCTGTACCTCTAACTCCTACATCCTCAGTAACTGTTCAGTTAGTTAATGGAGTATCTGAGTATCCTGAGGTAATCATTCCAAGTACATCATCATCAAGGGATTCAGATCAGTCCCATCATTCATCAGAAGGAACCTTCAAAGAGGTTAGTTCAGATATTGCGGCAACATATAAGCCACCGACTACAGACCTTCTTGACAGAACAGAGTCTTCTCTGCTGGAGCTTTCTCCCAGACCTATTTCAGAAAGCACAACTACTGAAAGTATTCCTCACTTTAATAAACATGTAACAGCCAGGACAGAGGAGACAGAAACCTCTGTAACTGATTTCGCTCTTCAGGAGGAAGCTACTATTTCTGGAGATTCTCCATCAATACTTGTCATGCCTACTGCTTTTCTGAATTTTGGAGAAAGAGTGAGCACAGATGTTCCAGAAGTTAGCACAATAAAAGTTGAAGCTACTTCAGGGAGAGTGAACAACCCCCATCAAGAAAATGACAGGAGTACTGAGAGAGAGATCCCATGGCTTTTTTCCACACCTGTTTCAGATTCACCCTATAGTATTGAAAGTGAAGTATTTAAACCTGACCAGGAAGCAGTTACAATGGTAACTTCATCTTCACAACCTTTGGATAGAAGTACGGAAACACAGTCAGCTTTGTTTGGTCGAGGGGAGATCACGACAATTTCTTCTAACATTGCAACAAACAGCACCGCCCCTGGAAACGGTCCATATCAAAATGAGCAGTCAACCATAAACTCTGAGGAGCCAAATACTATTGAACTTGTAACTTCACCATTTTCCCTTCTGGAAGTCACTAATGGATCAGAGTTCCTGACTGGCACCAGTGTGGGTTCAGTTGAAGGCACAGCAGTGCAAATTCCAGGTAACTTCCAAATATGATCACTGTTGTATGTTTGTTGTGATACTTGTAAATGTGTGTCTTAACTCAGATAAGAGGTATGACAATCAGAGCACCATGTGAAATAACAACAGAACTTGTGATCCTCAAGCTTTGAAATCAGCATGATCGTAACCCCTTTAAAGTGAAGGAGGATAAGGGTACGAAAACTCAAGCTCAGTGACTTTTCCTGAGTGTTTGCGTCGTGGAGCTCTGGATCAGACTTGAGGTGACCAGCCAGTTCTAAAAGACGGGAAGGTAACACTGACTGTGGTAGAGAATTCAGCTGTAAATTATTTAATATTCCTATTTCCAACAGATGATTTTGTCTGATACCTTTTCTGTGTTGGCATGATGATAATGCTTATACAATAGGTTTATAGCTAGTGCTGGTTCATAACATCTTGCAGTTGACTAAGGGAGCAGATACAGTGTACATTTTATGATCAGGATTGCCTGTAAAAAAAAACTTCTTTTAACCTACAAGATGCCTTTCCACATAAGAGAAAACAGAGACTTCACGTTTTCAGCCTTGCTGTAGCTTTAACTGGTTGATACAGTGTCTGTCTCTTATAAATTACAGATCTTTTTGTTAGACATCATTTGCCACGGTATTTTATTTTACTTAATGTTTTTTAGGCACCATGTCAATGAATACATAGATGATGCAGGTAGGGTCAATATGAGTAGGGTTTCTTCAATTCATGTTTTATCTAAATATAAAAGAGAAAAGAGATAAACTGGCTTAATTTTATAGGGTTTTCTATTATCTCTCCTCAGATAATCCACATAAGTGTCAATGTGAAAGTATTTTCTGGGAAAATATTTGATCTGTAGGAGGACAGACAGTAAACATACAATAAACATGATTAGATGTTTAGCATAGCCCTATGTTTGGGACTTCCAGTGAAACAGTCCTGAAACAAGCACCTCGTTTTATGGGTATTATCAGATTATTTTCAAAACCTTCAAAGTAAGATCCTGCCCACTTAATTACAACCCTAAATTTATGTAGATGGGATTTTCTTCTGGGGAGTTTCAACTGAAACTTTCCAGTGACTAGATAAAGACCTTGGTATTTCAAGAAGACTTTTAGGAATGTCTAACTCACAAGGCTAAATTAGACATTACTTATCTATGATTTCAGAAATGATAGATTATTTTTGGAAAAATTGCAACCAAAAATCTCAACTTTTCTTATGTCTCTGAATTAACTTAAGTTACCTAACTCTTACCCATTTTGTAAGTTTTCAAAGCCAGGGCTTTCCTATTCTATTGCAGAGGGCTGTCTCCGTAATTTTCCTCTAACTCTGAGAAGTTAATACTCAGAAATGGTTTGTACTTGTTTGTGTGAGTGATTGCTCCTAGGCATTAAATCAAGTGCAAACACCTAGATATCTAAACTCATTTCAAATAAGCATCTCTAGAAGGCATAAAGCTCTGCGAGAAAAAGATATTTAAATGATAACTCCCATTAACAACCAAGGATTTCACAGCAGGTAAGCTTTTATCTTAATGTTTACTTCAGTTATGAATGTATTCAGCACCTTTGTATTCTTCAAATGTGTTTTTAAGAAAGACAGGTGAGAAATACACACATATGAAAACATTCTTTCAAAGAAATAAGACTTTCTGGGGATTGATTGAGTAAACGTAGCAAAGTGAAACAGCAACCAGCCAGTATGTTCTGCGTACCCTATCATTCTGCATAAACTAACCCTGTTCAAAGAAAAAAAAAGAAAAGCATTTACCATTCATTTTGCATACGTTTAACTGTTTTCTGCTATAATTAATTGTCATGTCATGCAAACTAAATCCTTAATAGAAAATCATGACTGCCAAATATAGTACAAATTGCTATGAAAAAATATAGTTCTGAAAAAGTAGTTATACTGGTTCATTGTAAATGCCATGTTGTTAATAAAGGTGAAAATAGTGATGCTTGAAAATAAGCTTTAGTGTTTTATAAAATTATCTTGTTCTCAGTAGTCTATTATGTTTAGAGAGTTTTTGTAATGACAGTAAAACTTGAAGCATCAATGCAGAAATGAAGAAAGCTTTCTTCCCCAAAATCAAAAAGACACCAGTTCCTTGAGACTACAGAGTCAATTTTTGTTTTCTACTTATTTAACAGGCCAAGATCCATGCAAAAGCAATCCCTGCCTTAATGGTGGTACCTGTTATCCACGTGGTTCATTTTACATCTGTACGTGTTTGCCAGGTTTCAACGGCGAGCAGTGTGAATTAGGTAAGCTGATGCCATCTAGGTACTGATCAAGTTGAATATAAAGTTTTCATACATGAGATCTACAGAAGTGGTCTGTTTTGAAGTTGAAGAATACATAGATATTTGAAAAATTCTACAGTGAGGCCTTACTGAAGAAGAGAAGAAATAAATGGAGGTCTAATTATCCCTCTTCTCCCTCCCCATAAAGTGGGGACACAAACAAAAGGGAATTGTAAATGAAATATATGACCTGGAATTCATAACATTAAATTCATAAATACAACAAATAAAACTAAATTAATGTTAATATTTGGGATAGTGCTTAAATGCTTTCTTTAATTATTTGAAAGAATGTTAAAAGAAATTAATCCCAAATGAGACTGGGAAATTGAATACTGAATGTCAGCTTCATTTTCTTTCAAGGAAACTGTAAATATTATCATGATCATATACATGTCTGATATAAATTAGTGTTTTGATGACTCCTCAAGCTGCTTGTGACATCTATGTTTACCTGCTATGACTGTGGTTTTCAAGACACTCACCAGTACAGTTCAGAATGACCAGCTTTTCTTTCCAACCAGAAAGCCAGAGTTAGATAAAAGTGGAAGTTTGGCTGTTTAGTGTAGAGCTCATTTAGGCTTTTAAAAAATTGTGAGTTTAATTGCCTGATAAATACCATGGATTTCCATTACACAGTTGCCTGCCAAATTTAAAAGAAAAAAAATGCATAGTTCAACTCATCATATATAACTTGGGAGAAAAATAACAACCCCACCCAAAGGCTGATATCAGGGCAGCATAATTGTCAGGATAACTATGGTTTTATTTGTGTTCTGCAAAAGAGTATGTGATTAAAACAATAATTAGTCAGTGTTTCTCTCTGCTTTCCTATACACATTGATGAGTTTGCTAGTTTCCTAATGGATTATTGCTGGTGGACATCAAGTTTTAGATGTTGCATCTTAAATCTTTGTCAAGGAATGTGGCATCCTCTGGTTGCAAACCAGAAGTCAGAAATAAAAAAATTCACTTTTTTTTTTTCAGATTATAAAGAATAATGGCCACTTTTTGTCCCCTAGAATTCTTAGTGTCTTATTAATGAATTGGAGTGGGGCAGTCCACAGCTAGTCACCATGTAGAAATATGTTCTGTGGTGCTTAAGAAAATGAACCTCAGAACTTTTAGCCCTCAGTTCAGGGATATTCTGGATATAATCATGAAACATTAACTTGAGAGCTTTCCAAATAACTGGAGCAAAAAAATTTGAGCAGAAATAGTTTTTTAAAAGAAATATATTTTAAAAAATCTTTAATGTGATGCAGCAATTATTCCTAAGACTGCACAACTGTTTCTTGGCTTGTAGATATGCTTAATATCACTCTTATATTTTAATAGCTATTCACTGTCAGCAGTTCACTTTGGGTTAACATGTTCACAAAATCTGCATTGTAGTTCAAATTGTGATTGTTTCAGAGGAGCAGCACTCACTAAAAAACACCAAATGACCTTTATAAAGAGATATACTAGCTTATAATCTATGAAAATGAATGCAAAAAGTAATTATAGTAAATGAATTAGTGCTCCAAGGTATTTTAGCAGTCAGAGGAGTGGGGGAGGGAAAAGTTACTTGTTTGCTCTACAGCCAGAGTCTCAGCAGTAAACCTGTGCATGACTATGAATGTTAGTATCTTCCTAATCAATTAGTGAGATTGTCGTTATAGTTCTCTGTCCTTGTCTTGATAATAGTAGACAAGGAAGAAATGAGAAATGCAAACCAATAAGATGCCAGGGCATGTTGCTTTGTAGACAGAAATTATGAGACTCTTTAATGGTACATGGTAAGATTTCCAGTATTTGAGACTCCTGAAAATATCGGAGGCTTTCAGTACTTGAGGAGAATTTTTTGTGCTGTGGTAACACACTCCAGTTAAATTTTCCACAAGCATGGGAAAATACTATATACTGTGCAGTATCACTTCTTTCTCAGCTACACAATGAGAAACTGGAGGTCTGGATTTTAGAAATTAACTCGGGAATCAGATTGCGGACATAAAATTGTTGATCATTAGTGCTGCACTTCCTGAGAAAACTCCTTGGCTTGTGAGTGACAACAAAGGAAGGTTGCTTAGTGAAATCAGTTATCATGCAAATAAACCAGTCACTTGGATCTTTTGCAATACTTCATTCTTCTGGATTGAACAGATAGTAGTAATAAGTATGACTAAAGCTGAAGAACATTTCCCTTCTAGGAGGTGGGTGGATTATAAAAACACTTTTATCTCTCTGTTGTAGATATCGATGAATGCCAGTCTAACCCATGTCGGAATGGAGCCACGTGTATAGATGGCCTCAATACTTTTACTTGCTTGTGTTTGCCAAGCTATGTAGGTGCTCTCTGTGAACAAGGTAAGGAGTATTCTTTAATCTATTGTCATCAAAGTTTCCTGTTTCCATTTCAACACCATCTGGAGTAACTAGTCAAAGCCTCCTAAGATTGAGAGGATGGTTGAAACCATCAAAATCTGTGCAAAGTCAACAGTGAGGATGAGAGATTGCCATTTTTGAGTACGTCAGACTCCAATGATTTGTGGCTCAGGACTTTTTGTTTAAGGTTACATCTGCATCTTTTTTACAGATGGACGAGAGCAAACTGCAAGTCACTGCTGTACTGAATATAAACTGGTGTACTGGGCAGTCTTTGTCAAAATAACAACAAATGTACAGCTTCCAGGTGGCTCCAAGGCAAGCACACTCTGCTCATATTGGCTTGCAAACTACTGGGAAGACAGTTACTGCTATTCTTTCATTACTATAGTGATGTTATGGAATGAATGGGAGCAGAGTCACTCTGACTTACCTCCTGTCTTAAAAGATGTATCAGAACCATTACTTCCAGCAAGCATCACAGGAAAGCAGAAATGACCTACTGAATACACCAGTTTATATATCTATCCACTAGGGGCCATAGCCTTGACAATTTAATCCCAAAATTTTCAAATTGTTTTGTTCTGTGACTATTTTAGGAAAGTAGGTGCAGGAGTACAAATACAAGGAAGTTGTAAAAGACTTTCTAAACTGGACAAGTGAAATCAGATTAAATATCCAAGTCTCTGTAATTGGTAGAATATGGTCTGCAAGAAATCCACTGTATTTACAAGAAGTATTTACAATGTATGATGCTTACTCAATTATGTGCATGTAGGAGGAGGAATAGGGTAGCAAAGTCCATTCTGTTAGTAAAATCAGTAGAGATATTTCCACAGGAAAAAGAAATGGTATTTTAAAGTGTACTTTTAAAACCTTATGAAAATTCTTTTTTCTTTTTCTTCAGATGAATGGTTTTGGTCACAGGTGAATGAATTAAAACTTTAGAATCTTTAATTAATATTGTGTATTTTCATGCTTGTTTCCCATCGTCAGTAAAGACAAATTGCAAACTCTTCCAGCTCAACCTATAGAGTTTTATTTGTTAGACCTGAAAACTCTCAAAACTGACTGGCTCCATCACTTTTCACTGTTAAACTTTTTTAGTAGTCTGGCTAACTTCGCAATTTGAAAGGACTTTCTAAATTTTCTCCAAAATTATAAGTGACAGTGTTTTCATACAAAAGAAATAAATGTTCTCAGTCCCTTCCTCCCCCGCTTCATTCCAGCAAATCTATAGTAGCGAGTGTCTCTGTGTACTGGTAGCTTTGAGCTGTTTTTTTACGACCAACCTGAGAGTGCATTTGAGGTGGTTAATGGGAACATTTCCTAGTTTGTCAATCAGAACCAGAGCCCTGCTCACTCAGCTTTGGAATTTAAATTTCCTTCACTTAAAGTCCTGCAGTGGTTTGGGACTTGGAAAAGCATTTAGTGCCAAATTTCCACTCCACCAGACAAAATAAAACTGTGTTGGCAATTCAGACACAGTTGTCTGGCAAGCAGGCTTTATTTCAAGGCAACAGTCCTGACCTCACTAGATTTAAAGACCAGCCAGAACGACAGAATGCATACCTTGGTGCCACAGGAAAGGTGGAGTTAAGCACACCTAGATTATATTTCATTACTCTTTTTTTTTTTCTTCAATATATACTATTCATTTTAGAAAGATTTGAAAACAAAAAAGTCAAGCTGCAGGGCTTTCTTAGACATGATGCTGAGTTTTCAAAATGCCATGGGAGGGAATGGAAGCAGACAGTCCGTGTTGCCTGTAGAAATGAAGCTCAGAGTAGGAGACAACTCCACTGCATGCTGGTCCTGTGATACTGATGTAGAAAAAGATGCAGGGCTCAGAATTTTTCACAAATTCCCCTGTGAGTCTTTTCTAAGCTAAGGGATCTTTGGCCTGATGTATTATGCCTGTGTCAGTGTTAAGAGGGGACATGAACAGAGGACAGTGCAGCTGCACATCAGGGAGCTCCAGCAGGTGGTAGAAGTCAGAGGAGCCTTCAGGGTGATCTAACCCAGGGTGAGGGAAATCAACCCTGAGATTCAGCGATCTGTAACTGGCTCCCTGACAGCTGTTTTTCTTGCCAGGTGGAAACAGTTCAGCAGACAATCTGAACCCAGGGACTTCTTCCTTAAGAGAGCCAAAGTTGTCTGATGTTAGAAGTAGCTAAGGGTGTTTGCATTTTAAACTAGATTGGTAAACTAGCATTGCTTCTGGTTCAGGCTAGATTAAAAGTAGAGTAGACCACCTCTGTTAAGTAATACCCTCCTTCACCCATCACATGGATCTTTTCAAAGTACAAATGCTTATCTGCATTTTTACTTGGTGATGCTTGAATGTCACTTAAAATGCGGAAATATACCAAAACCACTTTTTCAAAGTGTGTCTGCAGGGTCCGGTAGCTTCCTGGGGTAGATGTGAGTCTTTGCATTGTCATCACTCTGTGAAAAACCCTTATGAGAGCCTTCAGTTTCCAGATAAATGAGCCCAGAGCCCAGATCCTCCCAATTTTGCTGCTTGAAGCATCGCTTTGCAAGCTTCATGTTTGGGGAAGGAGGAGAGAAAGGCGGTTTGGTACCCTGTGTCACACCAGGCTTGTGGAACCAACTGTACAGAATATTCCCCAGTGACCAGTGAGGTACATGAAAGTCCATGGCTGTTGTTGTATTAACTGACAATCTGTATCTGGGGTGAGGAGTACCTTGCTTCATGAATATTTACATGGGAAACAATAAAATCCTAGAGAATTGCAATCTAAACCTCAAGGTCAAGAATAAGTTTTCTTTATAAGAGTTGGATGAGTACCTGTTTAGATTTTCCTCTTCCTTGGCTGGCTAGAGTTTTCTTTTTCCTTTTGCTATTGCAGCTGGTATCTACCTGCTTTCAAGGAACAATGTTTGTGCTTCAAACTCAAGGCTTGGGTTTCTCTGCTGCAGGATCTCTGCAGGCACACCTAGGCTAGCCTATTTACCAAATGCAGCTGCATTTCGACCTGAGTGTCGAAATGGCACATATGTGTTTGTTACAGGACATGCTTCCTAGGGATAGTAAAACCAGCTGTTCTCTTCCAGGTTCTGAAAACAAAACAACTGGGTTTTTTTAATCATTATGTCAGGGACAATGTGTTTGGGTTTTTTTATAACCCAAGTCCATTGTTCAAATGTCTGTGATTACTCCAGCCTCATTTGATTCAATTTGTTCCTAGATTTTGGTAGCTTGGGATGGAAGTATTTGAGAAACTCTCAGTGCAAAAATACTTTCTGAAAACAGATGGTCTCTAATCGATGTTTTCCAGCTGAAAAGGGATTATTTTTAATATTTACCAGAAAAATGGTTTCTCCTCAAGATGTGTGGGCTAATGGGCCTCAGGTTTGTTAGCTGAAGGCAGACTGTCATAGATAAAATTCACAGCTGAGTAGAACACTCATTTTCTAGTTCCTGCATTTCAGTCTTTATTTTCTTTAAGCCTCTTACAGAATTTCTTTAAAGACAAGGGACCTATTGTCAGCAGCTTATTGCAGCTGTTGAAAAAAGCAATACCTATCCATGTACTAAACCTACAGAGAAATTTTTTTTTAAAATGCAGCATTTAGAGATGATGTTATACATATATAACTGCAGTTACAGAGAACAGAAGCTGTGTAAGTAACTCCTAGCACACATCACTAAAAAAGCCTGTAAATTGTCATAAATCTTAAGACTAGTCAGGCAAATTTTAAAACACCATATACGTGGCAAGTGGTGTTTCAGTCTTTCCATCACATTCTGGAATAGGTTAGGGAAAGCTGTGATTACCTCCCTGGGTAAGTATACAATGAACATGGAGTATCGTATTCATTAAGTGCTTGCATCTACTTTGTTCACAGGTGATCGGGTCAGTAAATTTACAGCCACTTGTAATTAGACTTTACTGGTTCAGTAAAGGCATTAAAAACTTACATCATATGGAGCCCTTACCTTTGTCACCTTGTCAGCTTTGTTAATGTAGTATGTGTGTAGTTACACACACTTAAGACAAAGCACCACAGAGATGGAACAGTGTCTACATTTCCACTTGCCTGGTTGGTATTTTTTATCCTGCAGCATCCTAACTCTCCCTTTCTCCATTTCTTTTCCCCTCTTCTCCTCAAATTCTCCTATAAAAAACACCTCAAAAAAACCTGAAACCAAAATACCCAACATAAAAAAATCCTTTTTCCCCCTTCTAAAAACCCTATGTAGTTTATAGTCATCAGCCCTGTCTTCTTCTATCTGTAGATCTGGGCTACAAAGAAGCGCAGAAGAAGCTACTGAGCTTTTCCAGTTTGGAAAAAAACCCATGGTATTTTGGATAGGAGGGAGGAGTTGTAGGGCACTGCAGTGCATGCATTTCAACTGAGAGAACCTATGTCACTGTTTGGCATCCTCTACCTTAAGAAGAGAAATTCTGTTAATCCTGATGCATATGCAGGCCATTCTATCCAATTCTTTGAACCCAGTCATCCAGGTTTTGTGTTTTCAAGCCTCTTTCCTTCCTCCACACTCCTTTTAGCACATCTTCCCTCGAACTGTGCATTTTTTTCCCTAGCAGACGCCAAGGAAGTCTTACTTAGAATTGCGTGAAAATTCTCTCTGGCCACAATTTTCTCAGCCTGCAATGCTGCTTATTATCTGACTTCTTTCCTGTGGGAAAAGAGAGTCTCTGAACAAGATGAATAATAAAATTCTAAGTGCCTTCACAAAGGACATAGCACTGTTAATCAGCATTGTGTGGTTAAACAAATGTTCTAGGAAGCCAAAGGAAGACTAAACTTTAAAAAGGCCTAGATGCCAGAGATTAAAGCTGTATCTACAGCCTGCACCTCATGCAGGATATAAAGAGGGAAAAGATTAAAAACAAACAAGTTGGTAGCACGGATTACATTCCTTTCTCATAGCTGGGATTACTCAAGTCGCAAGCAGTTTTCTAAAGATTAACATGTTGAAAGTAGGGAAGATAACCAGTGTAAGCTCTTTTACGCCTTTGTGTTTAGTATGTTTATGTCTGTACCGATGACTTTTAGAAAACAGTTTGATACCAGACTCCTAAGACAATGACAACTGTGTTATCGTTACCAGGAATTGTAGTAGAAATTCAGGTAAGCCTCTGAAGTGATAGCTTTGCACCCTTAAGTCCATTTATGTACGTGTAAAGTCTAGTTTTCATATGGGGAGATCTTAAAACTTGGGAAAAAAATGACTCTTTGGACCTTCAGGATGTGAATGTCCTCTTCTCGGTATGAATTAAAAAGAAGACGTGTCATGATTTTTTCTTTCCACAATTGTCTTTGGGGTGATGGCGGCTTGAATCTAATAAATCACAGGTAGCGTATTTGCAGTCATAAATCTTTGGCATGTTCTGTAATATTCGACTTTTTCTGTACTAATGCAAAAAAAGCTCCTTTGACCAAGACACATTATTCAATACCGACTATACTGACTTACTGCAAAAAGAAATTCAATTTCATACCCAGAATGTACTTATACCTCTGCAAAGGCCGGACAGCTGCTTTCAGGCACAGTTTAGTTTGGGAATTGAGAAAACTTGGTGGGAAGTGCCAATTCCTGTTTGGTGGTAGGGGAAGGTCAAGCTTTGTGTTTCTGTTCTTCAGTATCCTGCAACTGAGGCCTTTCAGCGTGAGCCATCGTGTACTTGGATGTCTGGAACTGGCTGTAGTGGGAACAAGCTGTAATCTTCTGCTGAATTGTCCTTTATGATGCCATTTTGTCTGCCATAAGTCAAAACAGTCTGAATCTTCCCTACTGTTTTTTCCCATTCCTCCCTAAAGCTCTCTCTTCTCAGTGCCAAGTTCTTCTCAATATCAAGTACATCTCAGTCACATTCAGGCGTCATATTTGTTATGTCCATCTTATTAATATTGATTTTTGTCCTTGATTCATTCCTGCGGTACTGGTGCAAAAGTAAACTTGGAACTGGAACTTTGTTGTTTCTTGCCATCTGTTCTGTTTACAGCTGCCTAACCTTGACAAAATAATTAATGTCAAATCCATGGATTGTTACTGTTCCAAGGCTTTTGTTTACTTCTCTTCAGATGAGAGTGTATACCAGCTAATATCAACTTGTGTCTATTATGCATTGTTACTAGTACCATCCATCATACAAGAACAGATACTATAGATTTCATTACTTTTGTCGAGGGTTAGGGCTGGGCTGGCCTCTAACAAGGACAGACGCTCTTTTAGCTTCACAGTCTTCCTTAGAAACTCATGCCTAAAGTTCATTAAGTTAGACTTTGTCAAGGAAAATGGGTTTTGAAGGAAAATTTAGGGAGATAAGTTCAGGAAGAAAGTACTGCAGCTCTGCATCTATGGACTGCACAATCATAAGCACTTTGCTTCATCTTATTTGAAGTTATTAGGGGTTTTTTTTCCAAACCAAGGCAATTCAGTACAGTCACTCAAAGAACTGTTTGCTCGTACAAGTAAAATTTCCCATCTCCATATACAGACTCAGACAATTGAGTTGAAGTGTAGGGTCACTGCAGTACAACACCCAGCCATTTCATTCATCCAGAGTTAGGGACTGAAGATGGCCTCCTGAAATTGTCCAGATAGGGCACAATTTGATCAGCAAAAAGTTCACAAAGGTGACAGTTGCAATTACATAAATTATATAAGTAATATTCTTGCAGCTTGTACTGAAGCTACGTAAAAAGAACTACCTGAAAATGTAATAGTGCCTCAGGGATGAGTGTTGAGTGCTTGCATTTGTACTGCTTAACGGGTGGGTGTCTTCTGAAACCTTTGACCTGCAGAAAATCCACCTATTTGCACGAAACATGCCTGTGTTTTGCACTCATTGACAGAGATGTGATTTATTTTTCTGTCACAGACACGGAGACCTGTGATTATGGCTGGCACAAGTTCCAAGGACAGTGCTACAAATACTTCGCTCATCGGCGTACATGGGACACGGCTGAAAGGGAATGCCGTCTCCAGGGAGCACACTTGACAAGCATCTTGTCTGATGAGGAGCAGATCTTTGTGAACCGTACGTACCGTTAGGACTCTCTAAATGAGCTGGCACTCAGGGTTGAGAGCTGATGAAATATCCTCCCAATCACTCTTAAAATATGCTTCTAGAATGTTCAAACGGCACACTTCTTGTTCTTCATATTCTTCAGTCAATGAAAGTTCCCTATCACTATTAAGTTATTGTTTGGTACATAGAAAATACTGTGGGTTTGAATGAGAGAACAAAACCTATTGTTTTGGCATTGGAAATCAATGAAACATGCTTTTATGGAGACTTCAGCATTTTTGTGCACCTCATCTCAATGATCACACCACCATATTGTATTTTGTCATGAGGAGACAGTTCCTATATGTTGTGTTGCACAGTCTAGACCACACTGGCCACAGCCTAATAGAAATTTGAAAAATATTGATTAAAATATGTGTTTTTCTTATTTTAACCTTTTTTTCCTTTTTTTTTTTTTCCTTGCCCTCACATGCACTCAGGTAGGAAACTAATTTACTTTCTTTGGGAATGCCATCGAAAGGAAAGAGACAGGATTGTTAGTTTCAGTTAGATGAGCATCTGCATTTTTATAGAAACCCAGAATTAAAACTGAAAGACGGAAAGCCAGCCTCTGAATAGTTATTTGCATAATGAGTAGAAGAATCTTAAGAACAGGATGTCTGATTCATTGTATTTTCTTTGGTGAAATCTCTTCCATTTATGGGAAGGTTAATAAAAATATCCTTCTGGTTCCTTAGGTATTGGGCATGACTACCAGTGGATTGGCCTCAATGACAAGATGTTTGAGCGTGACTTCCGCTGGACTGATGGTAGCCCACTGGTAAGATGCCTTTGAAATTAAATCAGTCATCCATTTCTTTTTGTGGTAGCTTATCAAATTCCCACCAGCAGTGAGGGAAGCTGCATGAAAAAACACAGTCACTAAATATGCACCCAAGCAAACCGCTATCAAACCCCTATTTGGGGATAGCTGCTATTTTTTGGTATAATTCTAAATTCTTAGTCCTTATTATTGTATATGTGGGAGCTCTCAAGGCCTTAAAGCAGCAAAAAATCAAAAAGTCTGAGATCGTATTTTAAAGGTCACTGCTGGAGTTGTTTTGTGCTTATACAAGCTCGCCTTATGAAAGGACACGTGACATTTCTCCTCTCCTTTCCACGTATGGAACTGAATGTGTATTTTGGATGGGGATATGGCATTCAAGATCTTGCCTTTGCTGGGTCTGTGAGAATGCACAAAAGAGTCTCTCAAGTATTGCTGGAGATTGTTCTGATCTGTAGCAGCTCTTTGGCTAGGTTGGAGAAGCAGCCATCCTTAGATGGTTCAGGAGGCCTGTAAACAATAACATGTCCATAAAATTTAAAACATGCTGTCGATACCTCATATTGCCTTAAAATAAGAAGGGAAATCAGCAGAAGGAGAGGGAGAACATATTCTTCCCAACTTTAACTAAATTAAATAGAAGAACTTAAGAATACAGAAAACGATTGAGCTCTTTCCAATTCAAAATAGTATTTTTTGTAGAAGGGACAAGTGATTTATTGATCTTTAAAAGCCATTGAAAAGCATTATATAAAAAAATCCCCAAACTCGTTATGCTTATTATTTTCCTTTCCAGCTGAATATTTCTTAAAGCAGAAAGCATCTGGACGCACATACACACATGCTCACACATGCACGCTATCATCACTGCTGCATACCACGTGGCTACAACTTATGTAGAAAGACACCTGGGGCAATACAGGCTTTATTTATTACTATTTCATGTAAATAACCAGAGGTTTTAAGTCCTCTAAAATGACTTCTAAATAAGCTATTTCTCTGGGAAGTTACTGTGTGGCAGGTGACAGCATAGGAGGGAAGAAAAAAGATGAAACTTTCTGTTGCCTGACTGCTTTCTCAGTGCCTCTTTGGTGGTACCAATGACCTATTTGTGCCTGGAGCCACAAAATCTTGCAGGATGTAAGCAGAAGAGTTTCATTGTGTTGTCTTCTCCTGCCTACTCTCATGTATTTTTTGGAGCACAAGCCAGGCCATGGCCTTGAGCCCTACTCATTCTGGATGAGTTCAGTCTCTGTCTCCGATGTGGCTTCTTACACCTCACTGACAGTAACAGGCGCCTTTCTGAGGGTGGTTTAGGTTTATTTGGAGATCAGGGGTGGTCCAAGCTGTCTGCAGTTGTGGGTCAAGTTGTCTACATTTCACTAAGGGATTTAAAGTTAGGTGAGATAGATAAATCTGGGCATAAATGTGCTTCCTGAAGGGGCAGTCTCTCTTACACTGCGAAGTGTAATACAAACTACGAGTTCATATATTCCAAAGAAAAATTTAGTGTCACTGAATGATGGATTCAAGCAAATTAAATGTAGAGCTGAGATTCTACTTTTTAATTCATGCTACTGGACGAATGTGGTATGACATTTTTACTTTAATTTTCAATTTTATGGAATGAAGGTTTTCTAGGAACAGAATAAGACCACCCGTCCCAATTTTTTGATTGATCTTTTTTCCACTTATTTTACCTTTTCTTTTTTTTTTTTTTACAACTTCTCTCTGTCTCTTCCTTCAGAAACAGTTCAAATGTCCCTTAAAATCATTTACGTTCATTTCTTCACTAGCTTTCCCTCCTAACTTATTCCATATAGTTTCTAGATATCACGGTTCTAAGCAGTTTCCTCATTTGCTCCTTTTTGCTAGTTTTTAACTCATTTTACATATTTTCTAATCACTCTTCTGGTTACAGTGATTTATTACTTCTTGAGTAATCATAGGAAAAATAACATAATTAAATGTATGCATCAGACATATTTCCCTAATGGTGTCTTAACATTTCAGTGAATTTTAATTCAGTGTAGGTCAAAAAATTACATCATTTATGTTTTTGCAGGTAAGCAGTATTCATGATAGCATTAAATATATTAATATAATTTGTGATCATAAAAATCAGCATTATTGCATCAACACTCAGGTTGTAACTTGAATTTCTGAGATTACAGGTAGCTCTTGTATCTAGTAAAAATCTAAATAGCCCTCGTGTTTTACGTTATCAGAGTGCATCTGAAATTCAGCTGTTTCTAACTTTGTTACCCAGCTCCCTGCTTTCTCCAAGATAATATTATCCATCTACAACTCTGTTCAACACTCCTGGCATAAAGCAAAATTTGCCTAGTCTGTTGAGGGTTCTCCTGATATGAAAGTTTTCTTGGAGATACTACCAGAAAAGTCAGTGCAGCTCTCGGATAGACTTTGCATCTACAACTGATGTACTTTCAGCTTTATCTTGATATTGTTTGCATTTTCTGCCAATAACAGCTTGGTTTAATTTGGAAAAGATGCTTACATGATTTTATTAGGTTTTGGACTTAAAATAAAAGTTTTGATGCTTAGTAGACTTAAAAGAAAAAGCAAATGAACAACAACAGCAATAGCAAGACTGGGATTTTGGCCCAGTGCTGTAGTTGAACCAGTTCTGCCCAGATGAAATAGCTGTGATATATTTTAGTGATTTCTCTTTCACGTGAATTCTTCTGAACCAAAAAAACCACCTCAAAACAACAACCCTAGGATTGGGAATCATTGAACCAGAGGATATACAACTGGAGATTATGCAACAAGGTTTGGATTACTTTGGTGCTCATTTTCCATGCACATAAGGAAATCCACAATTTAAATATCCAGTATGTTGAAAGGAACTCTTTTGCCAGGTTCTGGTATATATTTTACTAGACAATTGCTGGAAAAGGCATCAAATGCCTTTTTTTTTCTTTGCACCTAAAAGATATTTCAACTGATGAGTTCAATGGAATAAAACAGTCATGTTTTGACACTTTCAGCCAAGTTGCTTTTTCCCAGATTTTTTAACCTCATCTTTGTCATTGGTCTAGTAATATGAGAAAGTTTAAATTCTCAGAGGAAGTTGAATCAATGGCTGATATTTTCATCAATCAAATAAGCAAGGGCCATTCAATTTTCTGTGCAGTCACAAGATGAGATCAGTTCTTGCCCCTTCAGTGGTATGGAAGGTTTGTTTGGTTTTTAGGGCATGTAGGACAAAATTACCAATTTTTTTTTAAAAAGTGAACATATAAAATTTAGGTACTTACTGTGAAAACTGCACTGAACTTAGAGAATCCTTGAAAGGCTTACAGGCCTATGCAAAAAAAAGGGGCAATTTTTTAGGTGCCTAGTAGTGGAATAACTACAGTCACCCACTTTTGATATGTTGGCATTCTTTTTTTAACCCTCATAGAAAATACTGGCTCCTAGCAATTCATCAAATACAGCAGCAGTCAAAAAAGCTCCTCTATTCCTGTGCATGTTTTTCATGTATCAACTGGAATTTATGTTTAACGTGCAAAAACAATGCCAGTAAGCAAGTCTTGGAATAAATGAAGAGTGATCTTGTGAATACATGTTCAGATTCTCAGAGTTCCTCAAGGAAAATGTTGGTGTCTTGAATAACGAAGCAAGTACAATCGAACTCAGTGAGAAAGCAAGGAATAGTGTTTAAAAACATTTTTGTCCACATAATATTGGCCCATAACTGTATTGAGTCTACCTGTTTTCCGTGACAAGAACTTTTAAGAGAAGTTCAGAAGAATTGCTCATCAGTTTCTTGCCTTTCAGGCATAATGGCATAATCTTATGCAGTGGATTGGGTTGCAGAGACAGACCCTCACAACCTCCTGGTTGCCTTTTCAGCATGCTGTACCCACTACATCCCAAATACAGACTGAGCTTGAAAAATGCAAAATAACATGAATAAAGTAGTCGGGTCATACCTCTCATGTCCTAAAATTTAATAGTCAGTCCAGGTGCTATGTTTTCCACAAGCAAATTACTTTCCAGATGAGGGATATTTCATCATACTGGACTTTATTGGCCAGGCGAATCTGCTTATGTTTGGGGTTTTTTGTTTTGTTTGTTTGGGTTTTTCCTGTAATTTCTTTAAAGAACAAATTGGGAGCTTCTTGGCAAAGGTCAGAGCACATCTTCAAAGGAGCTTCTTGCTAAGCTTAGGTTACCTTGTCCAATATGCAGAACAAAATAAGCTATAATTATACTAAACTGTGGAATCCATTGCTGGCCACCCATATGAATCTAATTTGTTCTGATTTGCTGTACTGTATCCGTATGGCAGAAAGCAATCTTTTCTCATCTACAGTGTGTTCCTGCTCTCCTTCTCTTTTTTTTTTTTTTCTTTCTTTTTTTCTGTTTTTGAAGGAAAGAGTTTTCCAGCGTGTCCGGTGGTTGGGAGATGGGGATTCATGTTCTGGAGTTGGTGGGCCACATGAAAAACACTTTGGCAGCAGCAACTGTTCCCTTTTTATATCAAGGGAAAAGAGTTGATTGCAGCTGTGTTAGAACAACATAAAAAGTGAATGCTCTTTCAAGAAACCTAGATCCTGACTTGTAGTGCAAGTTCAGTGAGAGTTGGAGGTGAGGGACCACTGCCACAAGCATGGGCTTGGAATACCTGCAATATCTGCGATGGCATGGAAGCAGGAAGAGAATTCATAAACTGCAGATTTTGGTATATCTGCCGAGTCCTTAACTTCAGATAATTTGTCTCAAAGATGAAGGTAGTGAGAGCAGGTACTGAAGTGTGTTCAGAAAACTCACAGCCCTCCAACATTTTCAGAGACTGATTTTTCATTACTTTATAAAAATCATGCCCATTTCAAGATGTGTCAGGTATGATTACACTGACAGATGTAAGAGGCAGAAGAAAATAGTATCATATTTTAAAGAGCATGTTTTGTTAGCTCTGCTTGTCTTCTATTCCAGTCTAGTTATAGAGCTTTTCCCTTGGCACTGGT